ACTGCCTCCATATCTTCCCCTTCTATTTGCCAGGAGGTGATGGGACCAGTGGCCATGATCTTAGTTTTTTTTATTTTTATGTTGAGCTTTAGACCATTTTTGGCACTCTCGTTTTTCACCCTCATTAAGAGGTTCTTTAATTCCTCCTCACTTTCTTCCATCAGAGTATACATTTATACATGCATGGATTTCCGTGTTGTTTTAGCCTTCTTAGAACAAGTATGAAATTGTTGTGAATTTGGTAACTGGATATTATAAACAATGACAAATCAAGTCTTCCTGCGAATGGAACTGCTTTTTCTTTTGCTGAATGGGGAAGGGCATTTCTGCATCCCTGTTACATCCTCTGGTATGCCTCCTCAACCGAATGCACTCTCTGGAGCAGGATCTGAGGTATTAAAAGGCTGCAAAATGGGAGAACAATGTTCCCATTGTCTGAGTGAAAATCTGCTTGGTTTAATGTCATATTTTGCCCAACGTTGCATTGTTTTGTTTATTTTTCTAGCAGTTTGTGAGATGCTATGGAAGGAACTGAGGATTGAAAGCAGCATAAAGGTCCTTTAAAATAACAAATAACTGTGTATCCATGCCTGTAGTTATGTGTTGTTAATGTCTGCAAGCAATGGGGAAAATCTAGGGGCTCATATAACTCCATGGGCTGGAAGACTTTTTTCCAGGGTTCAGCAGTTCAAATCCCCTCTGCACCTCCCAGGAGAGAGGACAGCTGAGATCACCCAGGTCATAAGGGGTTAACATGCCCTGCTACCTGTATGGCAACTTGGCCAAGTTGCCTGGTGGTCCCAGAGTGCAAAGTCCAGATGAAAGAAAATAAATAATAAATAAATAAATAAATCCTCCCTGCACCTCCCAGGAGAGAAGCCAGCTGAGATCACCCAGGTCATATGGGGTTAACATGCCCTGCTACTTGTATGGCCTTGGCCAAGTTGCCTGGTGGTCCCAGACTGCAAAGTCCAGACGAAAGAAATTTTAAAGAGTAGACCTTTGGTCTAGACGGGTGGGATAGAAAACCAAGCAACCAACCAACCAGCCCACCCACCCACTCACCCACTCACCAACCAACCAACCAACCAACCAACCACTCACCCAACCAACCACTCACCCACTCACCCACTCACTCACTCACTTCTGGGCAAGATATACTTAGGAAAGTATGAAGGTCCATTTCCGGAGAAAGACTGGGTAGTGTAAGCATTACAAACCAACCAACCTTGGTAAGCTCACCATAAGTTAGAGTCAACTTGATGGCACGTAAGTATTATTAAGCATTGATAGGTTTGCTTTCCTTTGAAGAGGACTCATGAAGACTTCTAGCATCATTTGCAGTGTTGGCTTTACAAATATACAAGCAGGGAATAAGCAGAATCAAACAGTGGTCATCCCTGTAATGTTGCAAGTCCATTAGACTCTGACATGGGGCAAAGACAGGGCATTATAAATGGCATGTCTCTAGAAGCTGAAACCTATTAGTTTTGTGAGCAAGCAATCATACTTGCAGACGAAGCCTGTGTTGACCTCCTGATGACCAATCACAAGACAAAGCAAACTAATTTGCAAACTGCAGGAAGTCTAGAAAGTTCCCCCTGATGCTTTAAAGAATTCCTTGTTTTAATGGCATGCTATCCATCACATATAGTTTGACGCAGACAGCCAGTGATTCATGTCTAGCCAGCCCTCAGATCACTCTTTCCCTCCCTTTCTCTGCCTCTTTTTCTTTCTCTGAAGCCAAAAGCATCCAACCGATTGCTGTTTCACTTAGAGAGCCTGCCGAGCGCTCCTCTTGGAGCTAGCTTTTGCAAACAAATTGCAAATTTGCAATATACCGTTGGCTCAGAAAACATCCAGAGCCGTCTGGCAAAAGTTTTGTGTGTGTGTGTGTGTGTGTGTGTGTGTGTTTTTGCTAAGTGCAGGAGTCACTCCAGGTAAAACCACAACGTTTGGGCATGGGTCGGGATTTTGATTCGTTACCAAGAATTTGCAACACTACGAGCATGGTGTGGGTGATCCAGCCTCAGAGCTGTAATACATCTTTGTAACATCAGCTCCTGAAGTTGTATGCATCCGGTCCTGACTTGTTTTTTTTTTTTTAACACGGGGAACACTGGCTTTAAAGAGAAACCTCAAATGCTCAGAAGATAAATAGCGCTGGATGCATCTTCCATTCCTCCGCAGAAGGAAAGAGAAAAAAAAGTAAAGCTGAAAAGTTTGCAATAAAGTTGTTCTGTTAGAAAACGGCGGGGCAATGGCTTGCCAACAGCTGTGGTTTTAGCAGAGCGGCCAGAGAGCTTTCTTCCTTGGTTTCACGCAAAAGGTTTGGGAGTCAGGCCAAGTTATTGTCAATGTTGCTAATCCTGCTGCTGCTGGGCCAACAATGCCGGCTCAGATCAGAATGGCAGGTGAGTGGCAGATCAGTCGAAGGCCTGTGACAGTGTGAGGACCCACAGCACAAAAGGAGAACAGGACTTGCCGAGGCCCTGAAGGAAACCTGTCCAGCCTGTGCTGCTTACGTTCTGTAATCTGAATCGGATTGGGTGTAACAGGCATGAAGGAGGCAAGGGAGGTATGACAGCCAGGCAGCATAAAACCTAGTGCAGAGTATTGGCTAAAGAGCTGGTGGAAATAAAAATGCTGAGATGCATTTGGGGTGCCAGTTCCGTCCCTCAGTCCTTCATCAGCAAGAGGCCTTGTTTATCGGTTTGGGTCCTTTGTTGAATTTGCATGTGGTTTTTCCTCTGGTGAGCTGAGGGTGGTGTACACGCCTCTCCTTCTTGACACGTCACCTGCCCAACAACCCAGCGAGGTAGGAGAGGCTAAGAGAATGTGACTGGTTTAGTGCTGCCTAGTGAATTTCACGGGGGAATTGGGATCTGAATTCTGATCTCCTGAGTCCTTGCCTAGTACCTCAGTGGTCTGGTCCCCAACCTTGGGCCTCCAGATGTTCTTGGACTACAACTCCCAGAAGCCTTCACCACCACCTCTACTGGCCAGGATTTCTGGGAGTTGAAGTCCAAGAACATCTGGAGGCCGAGGTTGGGGACCATTGCTCTAACTGATGCATGACAGTAGATCTGTCCTAAAGAGTTGAGCAGAACGTGAAGTGTTACCTTTTGCAAAGTAAATTCTTACATAGCTGGCTTCAATAGCTTTGTGGGTTGGAGCACTTGGCTGCACATTCCCCGCTGGGGCTCCTGGGAGGAGAACCATCCTGTGCCACCTTGGGCAAAGTGCAGAATCCCATACCTAGAAAACCCTAGAAAAGGTAGCCATAAGTTGGAATTATTCCCCGCTGGGGCTCCTGGGAGGAGAACCGTCCTGTGCCGCCTTGGGCAAGGTGCAGAATCCCACAGGCATGTCTACCTCATCCCTAGAAAACCTAGAAAAGGTAGCCATAGGTTGAAATTGACTTACTGGCACTTAACTACTTAATTAATTCTTACATAACTTGATGCAAAGCCTGAAAAAGCAAAGCCTTGCTCATATAATTCTTAAGATCAGCTTAACAGAGCTTTCCAGTCGTGAGAGTAGTTTTACCAGTGCCACCTGCTAGCAGGTTTCCATGGTCAAATGGGGATTTGAATCCAGGTCTTCTGAGTCTTAGTGTGTCACCCCATCCACTGTGCCATTCTTGGGGAGAATTCCCGCAAACAAATACACTGGCAATGTTAAGGACTAGAAACATTTTTAAGGAGATAGCTGATATTATCTGGATGCAATTTCTGTAACTAGTACCAGGCCCCATGCTTATAATATGCCAGGTTCTTCCTAAGAAGATGACAGTTTATCACAGTTTCTAGTTCAGCGTCCTAATTGTGCAGCTATGAATTTGAAATATTTGCTTGCTCTCAGTTAAACTTTGTTTGTCTTCTGATGTTTGCAGGGCTGAATCTCGAATATGGACCTTGATGCTGCTGCTCGGGACCTGCTTGCTCTACTGCACAAGAGTCACGATGCCCATCTGTGTCGTTGCCATGAGCGCTCGCTTTGACTGGGACAAGAAACAGTCCGGCATCGTGCTGAGCAGCTTTTTCTGGGGCTACTGCTTAACTCAGATCGTTGGAGGCCACCTGAGCGATCGGTATGGACAATAACTGAATTTCCTTGCATCTCATAACCACTAGAACGAACAGCACTATTCACTGCGATTCAAAATTCAATTGATTATGATTTCTTTTGCTTTGCAAGTTTTGATTGCAAAGCATTGATAATTTTGTGCACAAAGCATAATTTATAAATTTAAGTGTTTTCGTTTTTATTTGCACCTCTTTGGGTAGAGGTTTAGCTATGAAGTAATGACACTGGATTCCCGGTGTGGTATAGTGGATAGAATGACAGACTAGGAATCTGGAGAACAGGGTTCGAATCCCCACTTGGCTATGGAAACTCAGTGGGGGAGTGGAGCTGGCAAAACCATCCCTTGAATATCTCACTTACCTTGAAAGCCCTATTAAGGTTGCTATGAGTGAGTTCCAACTTAATGGCAAAGAACATGAACACACACACACACACACACTTCAGATATCTGATATTAACTCACATTTCATGTCAGCTTTTTAAAAAAACTAAATCCTACTGCACATCCAGTCAGGTCAAGTTCAAGTTTATTGTATTAGCTAAAAGCCGTAACAATTGTTTAAAATACAAATATGATCAAATAAAATCATGATAAAATCACAGACATATAAAATAATAAGAAACCCTTCATCACACATCATCTACATATGGTAAAAATGACACCAAATGTTAACTAGGAGATGCTATCAAATACTGGCTGAATATCAAATCTTAAAATCAAGGATGTGATTTTGTGTGATTTGGCAACATTTCAATTATTTATATATTTATTTCATGGCCAACGTACCGTTACTTAGTGTAGGGAATTGCACTTGAACAGTGTCATTGAATCAATGGGGATATAGAGAATCAACTCCTCCAAAAGTTCCATGGATTCAAATAGGCCTACTCTAATTTTGAGTTGTTACGCTAAAGTAAACTGGAATTATAGTAGGCCTGTTTGAATCAATGGAAATTATGGAGGAATTGACTCACCAAATCCCTATTCATTCAATAAGCCTAATCTGGTGTGATTTACTACACTGTTGTTGCTACCTGCCACCAAATTGCTTCTGAACTATGACAACTGTGACCTTCAAAATGTCCTCTCCTTAACAGCTTTGCTGAACTCTTGCAAATTCAAGGTTGTAGTTTCCTTTACAGAGCCAATCCATCTCATATTTGGCTGCTTTTAGCTTTTCCTAGCATTATCGCCTTTTCCAGAGGCGATATCTGGACTCAATCTGCATCTTGCCTTCTCATGATGTGCCCAGTGTAAGACAGCTTCAGTTTTGTCCCTTATTTTGCTTCCTGAAAAAGTTTGGGCTTGATTTGACGTAGAATCCACTTGTTTGTCTTTCAGCTGATACAGGGTATCCACAAAAACTCTCCCCCAGCACCATGTTTCATACAAACTATGCTAAGCAAAAAGATTTTGACCACAAAGTTTTTTTTAAAAAAATGATAATTAAACATTTATATGCAGTATAAGGTAAAGGTAAAGGTTCCCCTTGACATTTTTGTCCAGTCGTGTTCGACTCTAGGGGGCGGTGCTCATCCCCATTTCCAAGCCGTGGAGCCAGCGTTTGTCCGAAGACAGTTTCCGTTGTCACGTGGCCAGCGCGACTTAGATTCGGAACGCTGTTTACCTTCCCATCAAGATGGTACCTATTTATCTACTCGCATTTACATGCCTTCAAACTGCTAGGTTGCGAGAAGCTGGGACAAAGCAACGGGAGCTCACTCCGTTGCATGGATTTGATCTTACGACTGCTGGTTTTCTGACCCTGCAGCACACAAAGGCTTCTGCGGTTTAGCCCGCAGCGCTACCACGTCCCTATATGCAGTATATTGTTATAAAAATAATTCTTCAACCATGAAGAATTTTCAGTATTAAAAAAATTCTGAAGATGTGAATCTGCCATTTATGAAAAACAATAAATGCCCATTAAGGTAATGATGACATAACAATACAAATGGCCAGAATCCTCTTGATGATTTTACTTTACGTAAGATAAATCATATAAGCCTTTATCGCAAATGGCCAGTCATTAATATGCTGGTTACATTCATCGATTCAGGCCCAGCAATGCGACTAGCATCTTGTTAAATAGCAGCAATTTGCTATCAAAACGTATGCAGTTTTCCTCACGTAAGTGTAAATCAACAAGGGATTCTGTCCACCATACTGTTCATAATAATAATACAGTGGGGTCTCTATTTAAGAACTTAATCCGTATTGGAAGGTGGTTCTCAAGTTGAAAAGTTCTTATGTTGAATCTGCATTTCCCATAGGAATGCATTGAAAACCATTTAATCCGTATCTGCTCTTTTCCGTCCATAGAAACTACAGTGGAACCTCTACTTAAGAACTTAATCCATTTTGGAATGGTGTTCTTAAGTTGAAACGTTCTTAAGTTGAAGCAAAATTTCCCATAGGAATGGACTGAAAACCAATTAATCTGTTCTGGCTGTTTTTTTGTTATGTAGAGGTGTGTTCGTACATTGAAGCATTAGTTCCCATAGGAACTAATGCAAAGCTGGTTAATACGTACTCTACCACTAGGGGGAGAATTTTTTTTAAACCTAAGATGACCTAAGGTTAAAAAAAGAGCAGGAAACGTTTTTTTTCCTGTTCTTATCTTGGATTTCTGTTCTCAAGGAGAAGCAAAATTTAGCAAATGGAGCTGTTCTTAAGTTGGATTGTTCTTAAGTAGAGACGTTCTTAAGTAGAGACCCCACTGTAGTGTGCCATCAAGTCAGTTGTGACTTTCGGTGACCTTTTTCAGGGTTTTCCAGGTAGAGGAAATTCAGAAGTGTCTTACTGTTCTTCTGGAGCTTGCCCAATGCTACACAGGCTGGCTGTACTTGCGGGAGACCCAGCAGAGAATCCAATCGCCAACCTCTGGCTCTGCAACCAGTTACCTAAGTCACTGAGCTATCCAGTCAACCTATACTGTTTACCCAATAAGCATTAAAGTTCATGCAAGACATTTTTTTAAAAATTAAAAGAGTAATACATTTGTTTTGCAGGATTTATATATTTTAACCAGTCAGCATTTGACAACATGGATTTGTTGATCTGTTGCAATTAGGCGGTGTTAAACCCTCAGGCCAAAATCTGTTTGGGGAAAAACTGTTAGTGCAATCACACACCACAGTGTCTCCTGTCAGTTGTGGAAACAATCACATGCCTGTATTCTCAACCAGTGTGTATCTGGTCATGAAAAAGAGTAGCTGCCAGAGTTGACGAAACCCTTACACACTTGACACACACAGCTGTGTGAGTGTATAGGATTTGGACCTCGAAATATTTCTCCCTTTGTCTTTCCAGCCCCAAGACAGAAAAATGGACTTCCTAACAAAGCATGCCTCAAAGTCCTACCTTTTCTCAGTAGGTGAGGTCTCGGTAGATAGGGCCAGAATTTAAAGCATTTGGCATTATAATTGCTGAAACTTTTAAGAATTGGCTTCCCCAAAGTGTAATCTTTTGATGATGACAAAACTTGCCTGGGGTCACGGAAACTTCAACATCATTATACCGTGGCACGCCAGACGGTGACTAAAACATGAAAATTCCTTTGAGAATGCGAAACTCCAGTATCAAACATCAGTTACCTGATGCAGTTCTTTTTACTGTAGGAATAATTAAATAGTTATTTAATACAGTTTAGTGAGAACAGAAGGACTTTTTTTGGTTTTGTTTTATCTCTTATTTAATATTTATTGCCTTTCCTTTGGACAGTCGATTTGCGACTGGGATGGTATTGACATGAAAGGGCGCAGCACTGGCCTGCATGCTTCCACAATGCTTCATCGGCACACCAGGCATGGATGTGTTGCAGAGGAAAGCCACTCAATTAAACTTCTATGCACATTGGCTTTCCCTGCATTCTGGAATCCTCGTCATTTCAGCTTCCAGGACTCACAGAAAGTTTTTGTAGATAGAGGTGCTCTTTGTGAAGGCCACACCTAATGGTTGGAACAATAGCACTGCAAAACCTTGGAGGGTGGATCCAGTGGGACACCTTTCTTCCCTGCCTCAGGCACATTAAGGTACCACATGCTGGCTGAATAGCTCAGTGGTTTTAGATATCTGGCTGGAGAGTCAAGAGGTTGGGAGTTCGATTCCCCACTGTGCCTTCAAGGGGAAGAGCCAGCCTGTGTAGCCTTGGGCAAGCTGCAGAAGGAAGCCCCCAGAAGAACCCCCAATGGGTTGCTATAAGTCAGAATTGACTTGACGGCATGTGATCATTATAATGCAATGCACACACACATGGAGATGACATTGCACCACCTGATCATTCAGTGAGCAACTGGCAGCACCGTTTGTTTGCACTGCAAGGTAATTCTCTCCGAAGTCACGTAAAGCCAACAGAGAAGCTTAGCTCATCTGCAGTGTTGGATCATCGGTGCTATGGTTGCAGAACGGTTAACGTTTTTGTGACCTGTGGATCAATTCTCATTTTAGGACATTTTGCCATCCATCAGAAGCAGATCCACGGGTGGGTAAGAGGTGGCAGTACCAGATCATAGGCGCACACTGTCTGTTCCTCAGTTGTTTCCAACCTTTTTTCATGTGCGCACCCCTTGACAGCCCATTTCCATAAATTGTACCCTTCATGATAGCAAAATGTTCATTGTTAGTATGTTTGCTGCTATTTCAAATGTATATGTTGTAACGAAATAAATAGTGCAATAATGGGATTAAAAAGCAATGAAATAATAAGGTGAACAGGCCATGTGTGTATATTTACATTCAAAATGAAAGTTACAATGAATTCAAATAAGTACATCCCAGAAGAAGTCACTCACTGAATGCTGCTCACGGGATTGACTGAGGTGCCCTCTTATATATACACTGGTACCAGTGCGACAGCACTCAAACGTTCATGAAGCAGAGAAGAATGAAAGCCAAGCTTGTGATGGGTGCGCTGATGAGCATGCGTACCGTAATGGTGCGTTTGCAACACATTTAGGGGGAGACTCTACACCAGTCGCCAAAATGACATAGTAAAGGTAAAGGTAAAGGTTCCCCTTGACATTTAGTCCAGTCGTGTCCGACTCTAGGGCGCGGTGCTCATCCCCCCCTCCGAGCCGTACAGCCAGCGTTTTGTCCATAGACCATTTCCGTGGTCACGTGGCCAGCACGACTAGATACGGAACGCCGTGACCTTCCCACCGAGGTGGTACCTATTTATCTACTCGCATTTTTACATGCTTTCGAATGGCTAGGTTGGCAGGAGCATAGTGAGGGTACCTTGAAGATAATAATGATGAAAACCCACTCCGGTACTCGTCATAAGGTTTAATATTTCACAGCTTTTGACTTGTATCTTATCTTACACCATCGACGTATGTGCCAGTTCCCACCATTATTCACTTTCCCCCCATATACTCCTAAATATCCTGGTACAAACTCCTGGGGGTATACGTGCTCTGTGGAATGTGTGAACTGATCCAATACATGTCCATGATGCAGACCTAAGAGACCTCGCCCTTTCATAGACAGTGGCGGATACAACCTATGCGCCACTTCCAGACCCTGTTGATTTAAAGGCATTGTTTTTGATGCTGAACACTAATCCAGGAGTGCACTTAAACCCCTTTGCGGTCAACACCCTGATTCTCTTCTGTTTTCTAGGATAGGAGGAGAGAAAGTTCTCCTTCTCTCTGCCTCAGCCTGGGGGTCTATCAGTGCCCTCACCCCTCTGCTCATCTATGTTGGCTCTGCTCACCTTGCCCTGATGACTTTTTCTCGGTTCCTCATGGGGCTGTTGCAAGGTAAGACAGTCGGCCTTTCAGAGTTGAATCTGCTCAGGAGATGGTGGGGGAGGTGGGGGAGACATTGAGTGAAACCCATAGCCTCAAAGGAGGGCTTTTAATAACTCCTGTAGCAAGAGAAGATTTCTCTTTTGGGACTCCTTCCTTCTTTCCAGCCCCATTAAATCTATCCCCCAAAAGCCAGAATTTGGATTGACAATATATTCCTGATCTATTGACGCTGGACACAATTGTTTGGGTCCACAGGTGTATGAACGGAAATCCAAGCAAATATGTATTTTGGTGCAATCTTGATTTGCTTGGTAGGGTTTTGTTTGCAAGACCAAATGGTAGGTAGGTCTCCATGAGGTAGAGAGTCCCTCAGGTAGGGCATCTTAGAGGCAGTCACTGAAAAGGCCCTGTTCCCAGTCACAAATAAACATACAACTGGGAATGTTATGTAGAAGGGCTTCTAATGAAGATTGTGGCAACCAGGATTCTGTGGGAGAAGCTAACCTTTCCAATATCTTAGTTTAAAACCTTGTGATGTCTGAAAGCCAGCACTTTGATTTACACAATGAAAAAACAAAGCTGGAATCCATAAGGGAGTTACATGTTACACATACATAGCCCCTCTTAATAGTATGGATGGCACATTCTGGACAAACATTTCTGCACAGTCTTCATGGGCAGCCTAATCTAGAGTAGACGTTAGTAGTCTAGTTGCAAAGTTATCAAGGTATATGTCATCCTGGCCAGATTTTCAGTCTTGAGAAATGGGCAGGCACAGCTGATTTGCCAGACTCTGCTGGCCAAAGCCCAGAGGCCAAATCCCTGAGCTCTCAACTTGTGAAGGTCAACGCATCTCAGGTCAAGAGGTTCTGCTATCCATTGAGGCTACCCACATGAGTACGGAAACTGGAAAATCAGGATTGCCACTGACACGGAATGACTGGGGTCAGTCTACTCTGTACGGCCATCCTTCACATGTAGGAGGAGGATGTTACTATAGCCAGAGAGGCACAGGGTGAGTACTCTGTGTGTCCCTGGGTGTGGAGTAAGCACCAGGCAGGCTCTTTAGCTGTTTACACAAAAAGCTTGAGATGCTAGAGAGTGCATGGCCTCTTCCAGCCTCTTCCAGCCAATGGCCAGGTGGTTGTGATGTCACAGAATGTTCACAACAGCCCAACTGCAGAGGAGAAAGTTGTCACCAAAGAAACTTTGATAAAGGGTGCATTATACCTGTGGAAACAAAAGTCCAGTTTCCTTATGAGGAAAAGGTTATGTGACAATCCATGGTGATGTGGATCGTTTACTGCAACTGCCCCAAACTAATTATGGGTTATAAAGGAGTCTCTTTTTGTCTCCCTCCCCACCTTTTGATCAGGGGTTTACTTTCCTGCTTTGGCCAGCCTTTTTTCCCGGAAGGTGCGGGAGAATGAAAGGGCCTTCACGTACAGCACTGTTGGTACTGGATCTCAGTTTGGGTGAGTTCGTTTGAGCGGAGAATGAGGACATGAGAATGCATCAGATAAGTTCTACTCTTTCCCTCTTCTCTATTTTTTAAAAACTAGTTTCAGCTGAATAATGGGCAGAATCATGGCTGGTTTTGTGGTGATGCTTAACAGGTGATGTTAAGAATTTAACTGTCCATTGCCAGCTTGGTTTTGTTTATTGCTGGACATGGGGACAAACCAATTCATCCCAGTTTATCCCAGTTTGTAAAGGTGGCAGTACAGGTGCTGCTGCTCCTCATCCCAGTTTATCCCAGTTTGTAAAGGTGCCTTGTCTTTCCTGCCTCCTCAGTCAATCAGCCCCTCATCAGGCCCAGCTTGCTTGCTTTCCCCACCTCCTCAGCTAATCTCCCAGTCATGAGCAAGAGCACAGATTCCTCTGCCCCGCCCTTTTGTCTGATTGGCAGATCAGCCAAGTGGGCGGGGCCAGAGAAGCCTGAGCTGCTGCCAGGACTGAAAGATCAGTTGAGATGATGATGGAAGCCACTGGAAAGTGGCTGATTCAGTCAGAGGAGGTGCAAGAAGGGAACAGCAGCACCTGTACTGCCTCTTTTACGAACTGGGACAAACCGGTTAGTTCCCATCTCTGCTTATTGCCAGATATGTTGTGGACTGCAACTCCCAGAATCCCTCAGCCAGCTTGGTCACTGACCACTAAATATACTTCCTAGGGGATTCTGGGGATTTCGATGCTTCCTCTGTGTTACAGCTTCTCTTTGCTGTGTGAGAAGAACTTCCTTTAGAGCAGGGGCCAATAGCAGCTGTGAATGGGACCATGGTGTGGGGAATGAGGGGAACTGACCCTTTCGCTTGCCACACTGTAGTCAAGACACAAATTAGGCTTGCCCTCTGCAGTTGTCCCAGAAGAGCTTTAACTGGCTAGAATCCTGTTGTGGATTTATGCCAGTGTAGCTATGATTTAGTAAATCATGGTGGTGAACTTCTCATTAATCAGTTGTGGCTTGCATTCCTAGCCACGAGCCAGTTGTCCAACTTGGCACATGACTAGGAAAGCAAGTGGGAGCTCATTCGTTGCCAGCAATTGGCTGGCTACCAAATGAATAAAACCCAGCATTTATGCAATTATGCTGAACGCTGGCATAAATTCTGGCCAGCATTCAGCATATAATCTGGTAATTAAATTGGGTGCCCTCTGGCTATACCGGCAGAAGCCCTGCCACCAACCCTTGTGAGCCGTCCAGTGGCGTAGTGTGAGTGGCAAGCATCCCCTCTCCCCAGGAGGGTCACGGTTTCAATGCAGATTGTCCCCAAGTGCCATTTAGGGAACACAAGCCAAGCATCAAAGCAGCATCGCCACTCTGAACCACAAAGGTCAATTGTGATGGAGAAAAGTTTGGTGCTGCAGATAGATAGAGGTTTCCTCGGGTCTGATACAGCCAACAAGCTGCCCACTTTCCTGTCTATGTTAGGAATCCAGCCGACACAGTTCTAAGCAGCTGCAGAGTCATGCGGTCTGTCCAGGTTAATTCCTCTTCTCTCTCTTGAGTTCTTTGTTATGAGTACAGAATTGGAAACAAGCATGCCCTCTTAATTCTCTTTCAGGACGCTGGTCATGGGAGCAGCAGGATCGCTTCTCCTGGACTGGTACGGATGGCAAAGCGTCTTCTACTTCTCTGGCGTGTTAACCTTGCTGTGGGTGTACTGCATGTGCAAATATCTCCTGAACGAACAAGGTAGATGCGCCTCTCCACTCATTGTGCCACCCCTCTCTGATTGTTCAGGTTCACCAAGGCCTATAACCAGAAATATGTGAGGTGTCTGCCAATTGTGTGCCTGTCATTTAGGGGATAGGCCAACTCCATTGACAGTGCACACGTTCATCTCAAAGAGACAAGGCCTCTGGACACACCTGCTCCAACAGAAGACGTGGCAGAGGAGAGGGATGTTGTGAAAAATCTGAATTATGTATAAACCCCCTGCTATATGCCAGACACAAGCAGACACAACAATTTAATGGGGTCCCGATGGGTCATTTTTTTTGCATCCCCCCAAAAAGCTGGTGCCCTGTTTCCCCAAAAATAAGACCTAATCTGAAAATAAGCCCTAGTAGGATTTTTCAGGATGCTCGTCATATAAGCCCTACCCCGAAAATAAGCCCCAGTGAAGGAAAACCCCACTCTCCACCCTTGTGCAGCCACCAGAAGATGACAGGACTGTGTTTGAATCAAGTTAAGTGGTTGTACATGAAAAAAATAAAACATCCCCTGAAAATAAGCCCTAATGTGTTTTGGGGAGCAAAAATTAATATAAGACCCTCTCTTATTTTCGAGGAAACATGGTATTTGGATAATGCGTTGGATTTATTTTTAAATATTTTAAATCTGTTTTTATATGTTTTAAATGGGTTCTTCAATGTTTTTAATTTGTTAAATTGTAAGCTGTTCAGAGAGTGCCTTAAGCGCTATAGGACAACACATAAGCAGCACGCTTTAATACGATAGTCCATCTTCCAATAATGGAAGGGCTGTCATGGGAGCAACCTTGCCTTCTGTGGCTCCAGAGGGCAGATTCTAACTCAGTGGATTCAAATGACCAGAAAGGAGGACTAACTCAATGTTAGGAAGAACTTCTCAACAGTAAGAGCTATTTGACGGTGGAATAGACTGTGTTGAGTGATAGCAGGTTCTGGTTCTCTAGAGGTTTTTAAACAGAGTTTGGCTTGACATCTGGAGATTTCCAACATCAGCAGAGGGTTGGGTTTGATCACTCTGGGGTGGGGGGGTTTCCTTTCCACTCTAAATTTCTGTATTTCTCTCCTTTGTATAGTTTTGTGGTTGGCAAGGGGTTAATAGGAAAATCAGTTTGATGTGGCATCTTAGCTGTAGATGCTCATCAAACATTGGAAAAGGCAGCTTTGGGGGCTGATTGGAGGATTTTGTGGGAACTGTAGCTTTCCTAAACTCCGGTGCATCGTTCTTATATTATTAAGCACAGCCTTAGATTTGTTCTCTTTTCCTTCCTGCAGAAATCATAATCCCATTAGAAGATTTAGCCAAAGGCCTCTCCTTATCCAAACAGACCAAAGTGCCTTGGAAACAAATATTTAAAAGGCCTCCAGTCTGGTGAGTCATTGTCGTGCAGTCATCTGCTGTGTGAAGAGCCCACAGTTGTGCATGTACCGTTTGTATGAGTGTAGCTTCCCTATACAAAAATCTTAGTGAATGCTGCAGAGTTTTGAACTTCTGGTAGAATTCCTCTAGCTGTGCAGCAGTAGTGCAGGTAGAATAGCTTCAAGTTCCCCGCATAAGTCCAGCCCTTTTTCTCATTAACTGGCACCTACGGTCTCCATAACTCACTCTGAGATATCAATAGGAGAAAGAATAAAAGTCTTTCATTTACTTACAGTTGAACGGAGCAAAGAGCAGGCTGACCAACACGACTGCTTTCAACGAGAGTCTGCTTTCAACAGACATTGGGGGGGGGGGGGGGAAGGGAGAACCCTTAGAGGAGAGAAGCGGGGCTCTCTTTGAACTCAGAAGCAGGGGAAGAACGATTGGTTTATGCAGAATACATGGACTGTTGCCCCATTCCAGAAAGGTCCCTCCCAACTGAACCTGCTCAAGGCAGCACGTGAAGTTGGAAAAACTAGAATACTGAACACAGAGAGGCGAAATGAGGATGGTTGAACAGGCACCCCCTTGCTTTGTTCCCCATGCATTTGAGTTTGTACAAAGAGGGGAAGACACACATGGAAGGAATGGTGTAAAATGAGCAGCAGGGGCTCTGCCTATGAACTGCTTGGTATTCTTCCTTTTCCAGTCTTAACTACAGTGGATGAGCGTTTGTCCCACCTCCTTAAGGCTCTGCTTCTGGTTTTCTTCCCCTCTCCTGGATACCTCTAGGGCAGTGATTGTCGCCCAGCTGTGTGCGGCAAGCACTTTCTTCACCCTCCTCTCCTGGCTCCCGACATTTTTCACAGAAACATTTCCAGACTCAAAGGTAAGGTTGGCCTGGGGGGGCCACGAAGGCCAGGTTGTTTTTCCTTTCCATTTTGCCAAGTTATGTTCTCTTAGGTTTGCAACAGGAAAAGCTGGTGCTTGTTTTGCAACAGTTGTGTTACCTTTGTGCTAAGGTTCTCAATATCATTCAGGAAGGAAAAATGGCTTCTCTCCACCACCACCTCCCCCGATACCCGTGAACACGAGAAACTGTAAATGTATAAATATTTCCCTGCAAATGTGTATTTCCATCCCTGTAGAACATTGTATAGGAGCCTCGTGCTCCGATGGTTAAACTGCAGTACTGCAGCCGATACTCTGCTCCTAACCTGTGTTCAGTCCCCTTGGATTTTCCTTCTGCTAATTCCTGTTGGTAGCAGGAAGAGAGGTCATTCCTGCTCTCAGGCTTATCTCTGGTGCTTATCTTTTGAATATGTAATGCATTGTTACTTTAAACTAAGGGCTCATACGAGGAATACCATGAAAAATCAGGCAAAGCCACCCACGTCACAAAGCATTCATGAAAAAAAAAAGCACAATGTGTTCCTCATATACCATATAAAGATGAGGCTGGATGATACGCTTATTAAGGCATCAAAATATTGCAAAGAGAAGCTAGTGTTCCACTCCTAACTGGTCTTCATCAAGCTGGCCATTATAGAGTTGGGGTAGAGCAGGAAAAAACCCCCAAAGGTCCAAAATCTATGGCCAAATGTTCAGGCAAAGTTTCTCTATTTAAAGCAAGTTCCAAAATACAGTGGACCCTTGATTTACAGACGGCTTGACTTACAGACTTTTTGAGTTACAGACTTCTCTGGCCGCAAAATTTAGGTTTGACTTGCAGACTGAGATTTGACTTAAGGCATCAAAATATTGCAAAGAGAAGCTAGTGTTCCACTCCTAACTGGTCTTCATCAAGCTGGCCATTATAGAGTTGGGGTAGAGCAGGAAAAAAACCTCCAAAGGTCCAAAATCTATGGCCAAATGTGCAGGCAAAGTTTCTCTGTTTAAAGCAAGTTCCAAAATAGGAGCTGTAGGGGGCAGTTTAGCATATTTTAAATAGCTGAATAGTTTGGTGGTTAGATCTCTAGAAGTTGGGGGTTCGATTCCCCACCTGAGCCTCCTTTTTTCTCAAGTCAAGACCCCACTGTAGGAGCTGTAGGGGTCAGTTTGGCAGATTTTAAATTGCTGGACAGCTTAGTGGGTAGATCTCTAGAAGTTGGGGGTTCAATTCCCCACCTGGGCCTCCTTGACTTGATGATTCCTAGGGTCGTTTCCAGCTCTGCTGTTCTAAGATGAGGATGACTACATTTCACCTCTGAGGATGTATATGTCTCAGAAGTCTCGTCCCATTACCAAAGAACTCCACAGGATATGAATTGGGTTTTGCTTGTTTAATTCCTGTTTTCAGTGGTTCTTAATGTCTTGGGGGAAAAGGATTTGCTTGCATGAGGGAAATGCTTGATAAACATGAAATAAAGTGGGAAGGACGGACACACAGAGCCTTTGGGGAGGGGGGGACATTTTTAGAAAGACTTAACATAGTAAACATGTGCCACCTACTGACTAGACCTGCACATGACAAACTCTCCCTGTCTGTAAATTAGTTCGGATGTAGTAGGCGCCAGCCTTAGAAGGACAGCTTACTTACCTGTAACTGTGATTCTTCAGGTGGCCACCTGTGAATTCGCACATGTGGGTGTTTCTATTCTAGAGCTCAAAGTAAAGATTATTAGATCAGCTCCCACCCATTGTGTATGTCCCTGCACTTAATGGCTCTCCCTCAAACATTAGGTCTGGCCCTGGTGTCTGGTGAACATTGAGGGTTTGTTGCTGCTTTGATGGGAGTTGTAGGAAGACCGATGGAGCTAAAACTAAGTGACGGACCAGTGGTATCTAAAGCTCAGAAATATTATTTCATAGACTACAACTCACAATATCCCTCACCCAACCTGTGGCTATTTTGACCAGCCTGTTTTGGAAGGGGATCTCTTTTTGGTCCAAAAAGGATTTTTTTTTCAACCTCTGGGTTTTAACTCTGTATCAAGTGGCTTCCTGTGCCCAGAATCCTGCTGATGTTCACTTAAGGCTTACATAGCTTATCAAGGCTAATTGCAAGTAATTGCTGGGGTGCATCACAGTGGTGGGCTTGGTCACATGCTTGAGTGTGCAACTAAAATACAGTGTGGCACCTTATCAATTAGCTGCAGTTAGCTACGGCAGGTTACACAAACGTTACATGAACACCAGTAGGATTCCAGCCTAGATGACTTAACAGGCCAAAGCCACAATGTCAGATCATAAGGTAGTAAAGTTTTGAAGCGGAGTCACGCTGCATCATCTCGCTGGTCTGCTCTGCTCCGTGCTCTCTGCCCCTTTGTTAGCAACACCATTGTTTGCATGTCTCCATGTTTCTTTATTTATTTTAGGGATGGATCTTTAATGTAGTTCCGTGGCTTGTGGCGATTCCAACCAGCTTGTTCAGTGGATTTCTTTCTGACCAATGCATCAGTCAAGGTAATTTGTCTTTTGGCTCTTTCAGTTTTGAACAATCCATGTAGAGCTGAAATTTAACAACCCCCCTTTTTTTTCTGGTATGAAGAATGGGGAAATTGCCTTTCTTTTCTTCCACTGAAGCATCATAGTCTTGACTTTAGGAAAAGATGGACTGAAGAGGCAGAAAGACTCACACTGTGTCTTTTAATGTTATCTTTTGCATCTTATCTCTACCTTTCTAGTTAATCTTGTCGTGAGCTGACTTTATCCCTACTTTGGAAAGGAAGGCGGGTTATAAGTCAGTGGAGTTATTCACAGGAATAAAACTGTTAAAATTTGGATAACTAGCTTCAGGGATTTGTGTACTATATACAATGAATGTTTGCTCCCCCCCCCAAAAAAATAAGTTTGATGCAAGGTGTAGCTCCTGCATCCAATTCAGTTTGTAGTTTGCCCATGAACTGATTTGTAAATTTGCATTGCATTCCTCTGGAACTGAACATAGCCTCATACAAATTGGTTCAAATTAGGGCAATTTGGCTAATGATTCAGGATTTGTTTGAATGCAGTACACAGTGATAAAGATCAAATACCCACCCACACTTACTAAGACCTAAAGATCCACCGATTAGAATCTATTGCAAAAACCTCCATTCATTCATTCATTCATTCATTCATTCATTCATTCATTCATTCATTCATTCATTCATTCATTCATTCATTCATTCATATAATATAGGGTGGGAGTAATTTTGTTGCTGCTGTTAAAGGCTTCGAAAACACAAAACCTTGGTGATTTGTTGTAAATCACCCATCTTCAGATCTCCCTACCCTTGCTTTAAAGCAATCTCTCTCAAAGCTTGGTAGCAACAAGGTGTTTTAAGGTTTTAGGATGATGTCAGTGTGAAATCAACTCTGTAAGTTGAACCAGTCCCCCTGGAGGGTCACCTTGCCTCTGTCTTGCTGACCTTCAGGCATTTCTCTTTCAGAGGCCTTTTGAAGCTGAGAAAATCTTTATACTTGCATCAGAAATATATTTAGGTTCTGCTATTTAAAAAATGTTTTCAAGCTGAAAGGTCTGGCATACTGTATTTGGTCCAAGAAGGGAAGGTGAGATTCGATAAGCTTATGTTACAACAAAGTGGATTTCCGTTGAATATCAGGAGAACATTCTTGACAGGAAGAACAGTTTAACAATGCAGCCTGTTACGTAGGTAGATGATAAGCTTTCCCTTTTTGGAGGTTTTCAAGCAAAGGACTGAAAACTGTTTTCCAAAGGATGATCTAGCGCTGGATTTCCTAAATGGAGCCAATAGTAAAACTAGATAATTTATTTGTGCAAGATACACCTGCAAAATGCTCATATAAGGTGCTGAGAAGTGTCCACAACTCCGTAAGTCATCTGTTTCCAGCATGCCTTGATTGTCTGCTTGTCTTTCTGTTTTCAGGGTATAAACCAATTACTGTTCGCAAGGTTATGCAGGTGAGAAACAAGCTTGATTATTACAATGGGTTGGGTTGTTGGTGGGACCCCAGATCTCTGTGTGAGCAGATCTATCACTTTCACTCTTCATGTGAGAGCTAACTTGGTACATCCCTGTAGTTTTCAAAATCTGGTTGTCTGGATGTTCTGAACTTCAGCTCCCAGAATCTCTGACCACTGGTCATTCCCATTGGACTTCTAGGAGCTGAAGCTCAATACCTCTTGAGGGCCAAATGCTGAGAATATCCACTGTTGACCACAGAGACGTGGTCTGAAATCTCTGCTCCTTTGTAAAGCTCATCAGGTGACCAGGGACTTGTTCCCTAGTTATACGTCTGGTATACTTTCTAAGGTGGTTGTTAATGTAAAAGTGGTGAGCGGTGGGAAGAGAATCATATACAGTAGGACCCCATATCTGTGAGGGGTAGGTTCCAAGCCACCCCCTGCAGATGCTGAAAAATTCAGATTATAGCAAACACTATTTTAATAGAGAACACTAACCCATATCTGTGAGGGGTAGGTTCCAAGCCTCTTCCCCCGCCCCCCCCGTAGATGTTGAAAAATTCAGATTACCCGTATAGCAAACATTATTTTAATAGAGAACACTAAACATAGCACTTACATTGTGGAAATATGTGTTTCTGAGTTTTCTTTTAATATTTTTAATACAGTGGTGCCTCGCTTCATGACGATAATCCGTTCCAGTGAAATTGCTGTAGAGTGAAATCGTCATGAGCGGAAAAAAAAGCCGTTGGAATGCATTGAAAACTGATCAATGCGTTCCAATAGGGGAAATACCTGCTCGTAATGTGAAGATCCTCCATAGGGGGGGCATTTTCCAGTGCCTGTCTTGCGAAATGAGGTCCGGGAAACAGCGGGCCGCCATTTTGAGAGCCGCCAATCAGCTGTTTCCAAATCATCATGTAGCGAAAAATCGGTTCCTGAAGCAGGGAACTGATCATTGTATAGCGAAAAAAAACCCATCTAAACATCGTTTTACAATCTCTATAGGGATCGCAAAAACCCTCATCAAGCGAAAAAACCATCATGCGGGGTAAGCGTCTAGCGAGGCACCACTGTATTTTGATGCCATGGATAAGTGAATCAGCAGATACTGATCCCTCAGGAACAGGGGTCCTACTGTATGCTGTTCATGTTCTCCATCCTTCACAAGACTGGGATGGTGTATTTCCAGGTCTGCTATTATTTAGTAATGATCAGATATTCTGTAAAGACTGCTGGCGCTAGACCCACAGCTAGTTAATGATAGTTATTTTGATTTCCTCCTTCTTTGAGGTTGTCGGTTCAGGTGTCTCCAGTCTTTTCGCTTTGGGCATAGGTTACACCTCCAGCTTTTGCCGAGCCGTCGTGTTTGCATCTGCCTGTATCGGATTTCAGACCTTCAACCACAGGTAGCGTCGAGGTCCCGGGTGTGGCGTTGATGACCAATTGGGTTGGGTGGGTGGATTAGGGTGAAGGAAACCTGACCTCCGTTCTCTGCCCAATCCTGAAATGGAGTTGGACAAGTTGCCATCTTTTTGCCTGACCTTCCTCACAGGGTCGTTGAGAAGAATGTGCTATGCTGCATACCTTAGAGAAAATGTGTGACAGATTGCCCTCAGAAACCTGTGGTGCTGTAAATATTGTAGTCACAGCATATATTTTCAGAAACTGGAGCAATCTGATTATTCTTTTCTCCCCAAACAGTGGCATCTCAGTCAACGTACAGGATCTGGCCCCATCATGTGCTGGATTATTGTTTGGTAAGGGCAAACACTTCCTCTTTTCTGTTCAGTGGTGCCTCGCTTTACGACCTTAATTCGTTTCAGCAAAATCGCTGTAGAGCGAAAATGTTGTAAAGCGAAATTAAAAAGCCCATTGAAATGCATTGAAACCCGTTCAGTGCATTCCAATGGGCTGAAAACTCACCGTCCAGCGAAGATCCTCCATAGGGGCGGCCATTTTCGGTGCCTGTGCAGCGAGGAATCCATCCCTAAGCACAGCGGGGGGCATTTTCTTCAGCTGGCGGCCATTTTGAAACCCGATGATCAGCTGGTTTTGATTGTCGTAAAGCGAAAATCAGTTCCCGAAGCAGGGAACCAATCATCGCAAAGTGGAAAAACCGCATTCAAACCATCGCAAAAGCGATCGCAAAAACCTCACCATCAAGCATTCGTCATTAAACAGGATAATCATAAAGCAGGGCACGACTGTATTCCATAAGAAAAAAAACCCTGCTAGTGTGGAATAGACAAAATGGTCGCCTGGTTGGTTAGAGACTTGGGAAATCTAGGTTCTAGTTCCCACCGAGTCGTGAGGCCTCTCCGGTGATCTTGGGCCAGGGTTAGCCTAACTAACTAACTAACTAACCTCACTGGGTCATTTATGACAATAATGTGGGGAGGAAGAAAGCCATGTACTGTATGTAGTCTTGAGCTTATCGGAGGAAAGGTAGGATATAAAGTAAATTTAACTGATCCATAAAATAAATAACAATAATTTATGCTGGCGCAAAATAATAAGGTTGCAAAGTGCCATGCGGTAATAACAACAACAAAATAAATAAATAAAATTTAAAACGTAAACTATAACGATGAAGATGATGTGCAAAGGGTATCAGACCGAGTCCTCTGTCAAATAGGTAGGAGTTCTGCTATGAGCCTAAAGGCCTTTAACATAATAATAAAACCTTGGAGGCTTAAATTTCTTATCCTCTTGACAGCACAGAATGGTTTTCTTTTTAAAATTCATTCATTTATTTTATTGTTTCTTAAATTTATATGCAACCCTATTAGCACAGGGCAGTATTCTGAGTGGTTTACAGCAAGTTAAAACGTGTAATTATCATATATAAATAAAGCAATTAAACAAATCACAAAACCTTTAAGACGTTTGTATTATAAAAATAAAACATGGCATGCAAGGCATATAAACCCAGGACAAACCTGGGTAAAGCAAGTTTGTAAAGTTAGGTAAAGGTAAAGGTTCCCCTTGACAATTTTTGTCCAGTCGTGTCCGACTCTAGGGGGCGGCGCTCATCCCGCTCTTCAAGCCATAGAGCCAGCGTTTGTCCGAAGACAATCTTTCCGTGGTCACATGGCCAGTGTGATTTAGACACGCTCCACGAGAAGTCGGTTCCAAAGCGTTGGTGCCACAGCAAAAAAGGCCCTACATTTGGTGGATGATTTCCTTGCCTCCTTTGTCTACTCGCATTTGCATGCTTTCGAACCGCTAGGTTGGCGGGAGCTGGGACAAGCGACGGGTGCTCATTCCGTTGCGTGGATTCGATCTTACGACTGCCGGATCTTCTGACCCTGCAGCACAGGCTTCTGCGGTTTAGCCCACAGTGCCACCACGTCCCCATTCAAGTTTGTAAAGTCTTTGTAAAATCTTTGTAAAGCAGCCTTTTAAATGTGGGGAGGGGGAAGACTTGGGTGAAGCTCCACGAGAAGTCGGTTCCAAAGCGTTGGCGCCACAGCAAAGAAGGCCCTACATTTGGTGGACGATTTCCTTGCCTCCTTTGAAGAGGCTACTTGAAGGAGCGTTGCCTGGGAGGACCTTGTGGAGACGGTAGGTGACCTTGGGGAAAGACATTCCTCCAGGTAACGTGGTCCCAAGCTGTGAAGGGCTCTATAGGTGAGCACCAGAAGCCTAAGAACTTTTTGACTTGAGAACCGCCTTCCAATACGGATTAAGTTCTCAAGTCAAGACCCCACTGTACTTGAAGGAGTGTTGCCTGGGAGGACCTTGTGGAGACGGTAGGTGACCTTGGGGAAAGACATTCCTCCAGGTAACGCAGTCCCAAACTGTGAAGGGCTTTATAGATGAGCACCAGAACCCTTAAAACTGCTTAGCCACCCCAGCAGACTATAGGAGTGGGTCAAGGCTCTGTTGTTGGTTAAAGAACGTTCATAAGTAGTCCAACTGATGCTGATTGTGAGCAGATGCTTTCTGAGAGTACCGTGGGATTAAAAGCATCCTTTGGAGTTATGGTTTCCTCTCTCCTCCTTCTTAGGTGTGGCAAATACTGGTGGAGCTTTATTAGGTAAGTCATTGGTCAAGAATCGGTCCGCCTCCCTTTCAGCTTTCCGCTAGGAATGTCTGCATCACAGCCTACAGACAGATTCACCAGGCATTCCTTCCACTCACAGTAATGTGGGAGTCATGGTGCTGTGAGGACAGCTGGTGTGTCTTAACGAATGATACCAGTAAATGAACTGGGCTGAAGGGAATTATCCTTAGGTCCTTTAGGTACTGTTTTTCAGAAGGCTGCAGTGGGGTGGGACACTTTTCTGACTAACATTTGAGGGTGGAGGAGGCAGAGAAAGAATTTCATTGAAGTTTCTGTCTACACATTATCCCACAGTCTATAATTTGAGCCCCAAATAACCTCAATATCACCCCGAAAACTACAGGTCCCAGGTTCCTTTGGGAGAAAGCTGATGAGAACCAAGGCAGGGTAAATTACCACTACCCTTTGTAGAAAAAAACACAATGATACGTTGTTCTGATGTGCTGTCAAGTCAATTCCAACTTGTGACAACCCTATGAATGAGCAACCGCTAAAATGTTCTGTCTTGTACAGCCCAAATTAGGTCTTCCAAACTCAAGGCGGTGGTCTCCTTTACTGAGTTGATCTTTCTCATATTTGATCTTCCTCTTTTCCTGCGGCCATCAGTTTTTCCTTGCCTTATTGTTTGTTTTCCCGAGAATCTTCCCTTTGTGTGATGTGCCCAAGTATAACAGTTTTATCATTTTTGCCTCCAGAGAAAGTTCAGGCTTAATTTGGTCTAGCGCCCGCTTGTTTGTTTGCTTCGGCAGTTCATAGGGTATCCACAAAGCTCTCCTCCAGCATAATATTTTGAACAAATCTTCTCTCCCCGCCCCCTTTCGGCTTTCAGCCAGATAGATAGATGCTTGTTTTCTTTTTCCTGCCAGGAGCTTGAAAAAGAAGACACTAGTTGTATTTAATTGTTTTTTTAAAAAATGACAGACTTCTCTCTTTTCTCCCTCTTCACGCAGGTGTCGTTTGTGTGTACTTAGCCGGACATTTGATTGAAAGTACTGGTTCATGGGCGTCCGTTTTTAATCTCGTAGCTGTGGTGAACGCCTTCGGACTTTGTGCGTTTCTGATTTTTGGCAAAGCCCACAGGGTGGACCTGGATACTGCGTGTGTCGATCTATAAAGCCTCCTCCGGGACTGGATTAGGTCAATGGCAGGAAGGTGGTGGAATCAAAAATGCCAAAACACGGAATTTAAGCTGAAGATCAGATTTGATTGGCTGTGCAGCAAAGAGGACCCGCACACTAAACAAATCAGCTCACGGCTTATCCGGTGCCCTACCTGACCTTTTAAACTGTATCGGTGGTGCTTTTTGTTCCGTTTTGCTCCTGAAGTGCAAGATGTTAATGTGGACCGGGTACTTTTGCTGGAGGGTGACTGTCGTTCCTTTCCCCTCAGGAATTATGTTGTTTAAATTTCAGCCAACTTTCCCACGCCCCGCTCCACAAAACAGCAACCCTATCTTATTAATTGATACTGAATTTCACAGCAAGATCAGCACAGAAACTTGAATCGTGAACTATCCATATTAAAAAAAAGAGGAGTCTTTATTATTTGTAGCCTCCATAGAGGTTATCCAGATCATGGCTTGATAATTTATGGACATGGTAGGGTTTCTGCATTCAGCACTGGAGGAAGCTATGCTTGCAAATCAAGACTGACCCCCTCCAAGGTTAACCCTGTTGGACCTGGAGAAAAGGCTGTTTGTCCACACAAATCGGTTGTTTGTCTGTCCGGAGTCTGCTTCCACCCTGGTGTGAGATTTCCCTGCTCTTCACCTCCCACAGCTCAGCTTTGCCAAGACTTATCAACAGGCCCCAAACCTTGCATCTTGGTATTCATCCGTGGTCCTTAAGCCCTCCGTGATTGAAGCTGGGTTGGGTTTTCTCAGTTGTAACTCTCAGACTTCCAGATGATGGCTGTTTGTCTGTCAATCTCTATGTATCTTTGTTTCTCCCTCCCTCTCCCTCCCTCCATGTATGTTTGTCTGTGCACATGCCAAATACCTGCTCAGTTGTAAAGCCTGGAACAATTGTTGTTGGGTCTACAGCTTCCAGAATTTCCCAACTAGCATGACTAGATGGATTCGGGGTGTTCTGGGTGCTGCTAACTTGTTCTTATGTTTATCTTCTACAAGAGTAGAAGAGTTCTACAAGTTCTTATGTTTATCTTCTACTCAAGGAAGTATTTCAATTATAGGAAAGTTTATTTTTTCTCCAGCAATCAAGGTGCAAAATGTTTATGTTGAAGGAAGAATTCCATCAGAAAACTCTTCCCCCAGAGCTAGCATGTAGAGTGGCCAACCACCCAGTATTTTAACTCCTTTGACTTAAACAGCGTTGTACTCTTGGAAAATTAAGATACAGATCTGATACAGTTCTGTAAATACTGGACTCTGCAAGATTCCGTGTATAACGTGCCTGGGTTGTCCTTGAATTACCAAATCTCACTAGCTTGTTGTGGTTCCTTCCTCTAACCCTGAGAGTGTGGTTTTGTAACTTGAAGTGCTGCATGGAATTGGCTAGTTCCCATGCTGTCACTAGAAAAGGTTTCTCACTCCTAATCCAGCACAATGTCATGTTTGCATACTATTAATTCTCTGTGTGTACATGTGCACACTCATGTGCATACATTTTATTTTATTTTATTGTTCTTTGGAGACTGTGCTCTGCTGCTGTTAAGACATGAAGCACAAGAGTTGTGGTTCTTTAAAAAGTCAATAAAGAGAGGAAATGGCAATGCTACAGAGGCAACCTAAAGGAACTTCACTTGCTGTAGTATCAAGGAACAATAAAGATGCAGGATTGTATTTTAAATACAATAAGGAATCATTAACCCAATAAGGCAGCCAGGAGTGCTTGCCTGCCAGCCCTCCTTCACAGCCAAGATCTCAGCCTTAAAAAAACAACATTTTTAAGAGATTGTGGGCTAAAGAAGTGCCTTATTAGAGCCAAGATCTCAGCCTTAAAAAAACAACAACATTTTTTCATGATTGTGGGCTAAAGAAGTGCCTTATTCAAGATAGACTAAAAGCATTCCTACCAGAATTTTTTTTGGGGGGAGGGGAGTCTGCATGCAACAGGAAAGGTACAGCAACAGGGTGGTTCGGAACTCAGATCCTTGAGCAGATCAAGGTCCTTAGGAGAAAGACAAAGTGCCTTCCATTTTGGGAACAGTGGATCTAGCCCAGAAACGGCCAGCCTCCAAAGGTCTGCAGCCTGGTTTTCACCACCACCCTGACAACCTGGGGAAAAAGTCTTGGCTCCCCTCAAATCACCAGTAACAGCAACAACAGCGTACCATCAAGTCAATTGACTCTTCTTTCCAGAACTTTCTATGTAGTGAGTACTCAGAAGTGGTTTGCTATTCCCTTCTTCTGGGGGCCTCCTGGCACCATGCAGCTTGCCCATGGCTACATAGGCTGGCTCTTCTAAGAAGCACGGGGGATTTGAACGCCCAACCTAAACTACTAAACAATTGAGCCGGCCACCTTCTTTAAAAGTCAACCTATCATTTTGGCTACATAGGCTGGCTTTTCTCCTAGGAAGCACGGGGGAACTGAATGCCCAACCTAAATTACTGAACTATTGAGCCGGCCACCTTCTCTAAAAGTCAGCCTATCATTTCGAAGGGAAGGGAAGAGGAAGGAAGGAAAAGAAAGGTGAAAAAAAAGGGCGAGGAAGGTAGGTAGGCAGAAAGGAAAGAAAGGGAGGTAGGAAGGAAGGAAGGAAAGCAAGCAAACAGAATTAAGTTTTTATGGCAAATCATTCACCTACAGCAGTGTTTCTCAACCTTTGGTCCCCAGATGTTCCTGGACTAAAACTCCCGGAAGCCTTCAACACTAAGTGTAGTGGCCAGGATTTCTGGGAGCTGTAGTCCAAGAACATCTGGGTTCCCTAAAGTTGGGAACCGCTGATCTAGAAGCTCCTGGGGTATTGCTTGCTATTGGACAACCATTTTTCTTCAGGCTTCAGGAAGATCTGGGGGAATCTCAGCAACTTTACCAGCAGCTCTGAGAGTATACTTTGTCCATGGCGACTCTAGTCTAATAAAGAATTCTCCCCTCTTTTTTAATGTCCAAGGCTGAAAAAAAAATTCTCCAAGATTGTTAGTTTTTGTCTTTGACAGTGTCTCAAGCAAAGTGGAAGTAATAATTTAAAAAGTCGATGCTAGTCCTTAATCCACTTTCCGGGTGCCGTGGCCGATAAGACTGAAATAAGAAGCTAAATGTGAAACGAATAATTTAGACTTTCAGACTGAATTAGTATGAATGTATCTGTCAGTCTAATTGTACCAAGAATGTCAGGTGGCATGCGATGTCACCTGGATCTTGAAACCTGGCCTTACATTCGGGAATACGATTCCAAGAAAGCACAGGATCCACTGGAAGTTTCCAGGAACGATGAGCTACACAGAATATAGGCCTTTCCGTGCTTAAAAAAAGATAAAGAGTTTTAGGGCTGTTGAAGGCCCTGGTAAATGTTATGACAGATACACCACTACCACTGAAAATGACGGCCATGTGTCTATTTCCATCTTTTCCCTTAAAAAGGTAAAGGTTCCCCTTGACAATTTTTTTGTCCAGTCTGGTCCGACTCTAAGGGCAGCGCTCATCCCGCTCTTCAAGCCATAGAGCCAGCGTTTGTCCGAAGACAATCTTTCCGTGGTCACATGGCCAGTGTGATTTAGACACGGAACGCTGTTTACCTTCCTACCGAGGTGGTCCCTATTTATCTACTCGCATTTGCATGCTTTCAAACCGCTAGGTTGGCGGGAGCTGGGACAGGCGACGGGTGCTCATTCCGTTGCGTGGATTCGAACTTACAACTGCTGGTCTTCTGACCCTGCAGCACAGGCTTCTGCGGTTTAGCCCACAGCGCCACCACGTCCCTTCTTTTCCCTTGGTAAACCTTATTTTGTCAGGACCTTTTGACCTCCCGTGTGCCCCCAGCGCCACTGATTCGGAATGGCAGTGGGGGAAAGTGTGAAATGTCATGAATTCAGTACATGGGCAAGTTGCAATAAAACAAGAGGGAGCAAATTGCCTCATGGCCTAGACACAAAGGCCTCCAGGCCCAGGAGTTTTTGCAAGGGAGTGCATGTCATATAGCACCCCATCCCCATACCAAACAGTTGCTTCCAGTTTCAGTTGCTTTTCAACTTTGGCCATTGTTTCCCACCCACATTTGCATAAAAAAGCCGTTTTTACCGGAATAAAGCCATCCCTTCTCAGGAAGTAGAGACTTCTTCTGTCAAAAGATTTTGTTTCACATACCGTATTTTTCGCTCCATAAGACGCACCTTTCCATAAAACGCACCAATTTTTTAGCAGAAGAAAACAGGAAAATATAATCTGTTTTCTTCGCTCCATAAGATGCACAGACTTTCCACCCCCCTGTTTTGTGGGGGGAAAGTGCGTCTTATGGTGCGAAAAATACGGTACATGCTAAATTTAATATCCTGGTCTGAAAGGTCAAGAAAGAAATTACTAAACAAGGGCTACACCACATATAAGGTGACCTGCGATCGCCTAGAAAAACACGTTGCAACACCCTTGGGGTTTGTGACCCCGAGACTGGGCAACACTGAATTAGACAACACAGATCAATTGGCAGCCGCAAAATAATCTCTTGGCTGGCCTTAAGTGTATTCTGATGTTGAGATACCTCCTCGCCCTGTTGTCCAATGGCATCTTCTTTGTTCATGAGCTGCCAGTACTAACAATTATATCGATGCAATCTCAGTATTGTTCAGATGTATGGGTTTCACACAGTCGTTGCCTCTTTTGAGACACCTGTTTTAAATTCTGAGATAGAGATACCTTTTAAGATCACCAAATTCTTTGCTGGAGGATCTCGTAAGCAAGAGAAGCCAGGCAAGCCACTGCCCTTTTTAAATGAACAAGCTCTGTATTGTTTTGCAACTACTAAATAAAAGAGAGTCCAGTCCAGTGTACGTGTGATTTGAATCAAGTAGGAAAATGTGGTGGCCCATGATGGTCTGACTTAAACCAAAAAAAAAATTGTTTTTAAATGAACCCAGTACACGACTTAGCAGGTCAGCCTAGCTGTCTGTGTCAATTATATGTTGCTTGGGACCTGGGAGTAAAGATCTGGCTTCAAAACGCTGAACTGCATAATTAGCATTTTAAAAAACATGTCATCTATAAAAGGGATTCAATAAAGTTAAAGAAATAATTAATGGACATGGTTTAAAAGTGAATGTTAAGAAAGCCACGTTCATGATCACTTGTGGTTTCATGTTTTTCTGTTTGTTCGCTCCCCAGAGTAGTGGAGCGCCACTAAGTCAGGCAGTATATAAATTGAATGAATGAATGAATGAATGAATGAATGAATGAATGAATGAATGAATGAATGAATGAATGAATGAATGAATGAATGAATGAGCTGGACAAGATGTGAGACAGAAGGAGAAACTCTTTACTTACCAAAAAACCCACACCCACTGCTGCCTAATGATAAGGCATTATTTAGAGAATAGGATTTTGGCTGTTATCTCAAGGTTCTGCAATATAGTATTTCAAGGACTGGGAGACTGTCAGCATATTTGCATCATAAACTTACTTTCATTTTATAACAGTATAGCTACTGTATCTCTAGTACATGTAGAGTGGTCCCAGGCCAGATTGTATGGTGTAAAGGTGCAAAACTGAGATAGGTAGATAGGCAGGCAGGCAGGCAGGGAGGGATGGAGGGATGGATGGATGGATGGATAGATAGATAGATAGAGAGATAGATAGATAGATAGAGAGATAGATAGATAGATAGAGAGATAGATAGATAGATAGAGAGATAGATAGATAGATAGAGAGATAGATAGATAGATAGAGAGATAGATAGATAGATAGAGAGATAGATAGATAGATAGAGAGATAGATAGATAGATAGAGAGATAGATAGATAGATAGAGAGATAGATAGATAGATAGAGAGATAGATAGATAGATAGAGAGATAGATAGATAGATAGATAGATGGGTAACTGAAAGGAGAATTCTCAGTTGAAGTCTTCTAGCCACAATTACACTTTCCAACAGATCATGAGCTAGTAACTTTTCGAGATAGTGACTCCCAGAAACAGAAGCTGAGAGAGACAGTTGTCATCCAAAAAAAAATACCGTAAGTCCTTGTTCAGTATGGAAAGGGAATAACTATTAAACTTGCTATTAAACTATATGGCTGACATATAGCACAGATATGTCCGCCATATCTTGTAAACAACCCTGCAATCAACAATCTTGTGCATATGATTCACAGACATTCGGAAGTTGTATCCATTTAGAGAAAGGCAGCAGTTTCCTAGTTGGGAAAAAATCTCTATTGTTATTTGTTGGTTTCCTTCTATAACCACGGGAGTTATTAAGCAAGTCGCTTCTCTCTTTTGCATTGTTCTTTTCCTGGCCATGCCTAACCTTTTCTTTTCTTTTCATCATTTGCACTGTAACTATAAGGAAGAACCTAATAGGTTTTTGGTTTTTAAAAAATGCATGCCTTACTGTGTAGGTGGCTCTAATTCTACCGGATTCAGGGCCCTAAATCAGAACTGGTTGCTGAAGCTACATTTAGTCCTACATACATACAGATTCCAACAGAGGGAGCTACAAGATCTAGATCAGCCCCGGATCCTATTTAGATTTCAGTTGACTCTGTGCCAAAAGGGTATGTTAAAAAACCAACAGTAGGGGTATAGTAAGAAGAGTCAAACTTGCTTCTGAAAGCCATCCTG